TTAATAGCTGGCAGGGAAAGCACCCAGAAATATTTCATAAAAGTAGTAATGGAGCTCAAATATTACTAACCTTACAGGCATGAAAATAATTAAATAAATCATCCACTATCAGCTCAAAGTTTCTTTTGATGTGCATCCTTCCAAATGAATTTATGTCTACAGGGTGTCAATATCCAATTGGGATGCGACGGGGGAGGGAGGGGGAGAAACCCTCATGCTCATGAGAAACAAGTGCAAGATTTAATCTATTCATGGACTGAGTTCAATTAGTTATTGGGCAATCAAAGGAAAGATTGGTAGAAATTACTTTCTGCTGAAATAATTACACAAATATAACTGAGAATGTCATAAGGGAGAATTTAATTTAAATGGGAACATTGTTAGGAACTCTTAATTATTCTGTCTTCCACAATGTATTACTTCATGTGTTTCTTAAAAAGGGAAGGGAAAAAAAAGCAAAAATGAAAGGGTAAAAACAATTTTCATTAGTTTTTCCATAATAATCTTAAAGGGAAATAGAAACAATACCACATTGTTTGGGCTCATTATTGTTTAACCTTCCAGAGCTGCTAAATTCCACCATCATTGTCAGTTTTGAGAGCCAACATTCTGTGACCAGACATTTTCCCCCTCAAACTCTCCCCCTTTTTACAGATTGATAGGAAGAAAAAAATGGTGGTGGGATGACAGAAGATATCCTTAATCTTCTGAAAGATGCAGAAATCAAGAAGTTGAACCCAGGGGAAAAAATCAATATCACCTTTACTATAGTTACAAAAGGAATCAGAAAAGAATGATCTAAACTCAGAAGGGAAATGGCATCCTCCCATACCCGCTACCATGCCACTGTGGAATAAAAATGGCTTGTCGCCAGGCCTCACAGAAAAAGAAGTAAAGCAGCTTGAAATCCTTTCATGAAGCTTCAATACTCAGTCTAGCCCAGGGCTCCCCAAACTTGGCAACTTTAAGACTTGTGGATTTCAACTGCCAGAACTGGGAGTTGAAGTCCATAAGTCTTAAAGTTGCCAAGTTTGGAGACCTCTGGTCTAGCCTAATTCCAAGCAGAAACAGAAAGCCATCTTTCAGAAAGGGTAGTGTCATGGCTTTTAAAAACATTTTTCTGCTATCTTTACATCTCACTCTGAAAAGTCCAACAATCAATGAATTCATCACTGACAAAAATCGGCAAAGCTTTCCTCAATCTGCATCTCCAGATGTGCTGGAATAAAGGTTTCTATGTTCCCAACCAATTTGATGTCAAGTTAGGAGAAAATGACTGCATGTTATTACAAATGTTTTTCAGTAATGACACATAGTCATGCACCCATCCCCAATCACATTTGATTATGCTTGCAACCTTGTTACTTTTATTTATTTATATTCTACTTTTATGATTTTATATAAATAACTCAAGGCAGTGAACAACATTATTATTTGAAACGGCATCATTTTGAATGACTCAGTTATTACTGAGTCATTCAAAATGATGCCGTTTCAAATAATAATGTCTTTCCACTTGCAATTAGATGGAAATATGAAATATTTCATATTTTCATGGAATCTTGTGATTTATTTTAAATCCACAAACATGCTCATTACTTTTTATCATCAGCATCTGAAATCCCACAGCTCAATTAAGCCCCTTTTCCTCCTTCCATCCTTCCTTCCTTCCTTCCTTCGTTCCTTCCCGTCTCAGTTCATACTTGGTGCCACAGCAGACTAGATGATAATCAAGGCTGAACATGGTGTGCTTGCAGGCTGAACATGGTGTGCTGTTTGGGAAGCAAAGGGTTGAACAGATCCTAGAGATATGGTGTTTTCTTTTGTTACCCCTACAGAACAACCTAGTGTGTTGTATATTTGTCCAGTTATTAAGTTCTGTACGAAGATGCTTCTACTGTCAGCTTGTCATTTCCCATGAATGCATAGCTTGTGATTGAGATAGTTAAGATCTATTTCTATAATTGATCTTTTAGTAATCAGTTGTAAACCATTCTGGATCTTTGGTAGCTGTTAAATGATGTTTTAATATCTATTATATATTCTTAATTTTAATATGTGCTTTAACTTCTTTGTGTTGATTTTTGACTCATGGTGACCACCTAGACCAGAGGTGTCAAACTCATGTTGTCACAGCATTGTCACGTGATATATTTGGACTTTCCCCCCCTTTGCTAAACTGGGCATGGGCATGGGTAGGACCAGTACATGATGCATTCGGCCTATGGGCTGCGAGTTTGACACCCCTGACCTAGATTGTTCCTTGCAGTTTTCTTGGCAAGATTTCAGAAGTGGTTTGCCACTGCCTGATTCCTAGGGCTGAGAGAGTGTGTGGCTGGTCTGAGGCAGTATATTTATTTTTTAGGATAAGGATCCTCTCCCAGGTTTGATAATTTACATTTACATTTGAAGCATTAATCATCTTATTAGCAGGGCTGTGCAGTGCTTCAGAATTAATTCAAAAACATGAACAGGAAACTAAATGCCTCACTTCTCTGGGACTCTTAAAACATCTGTGTCTTTCCATTGCACCTCCCTATCAGGTAGCACTTCTTTCTAAATCAGAACTACATGCAGTCCCACTGCAAATTAGTTATTTGTTACTAGCTTTTAATATTGCTGATTAACTATTGAAAAGCTTGTTGAATCCTAGTGAGCTTTGAATGCATGCAGTTTTTTCTTGCCTATGATGCAGAGGCCAAGTGCTCAAATACAATTTGAAAAATTGGCTTATTTGGGCAGCAATGCTGTGACTTTTGGAGACCCAGGATTAAAAGAAAGATTCCATCCTCAAATAGGAAAATCCAGTGACAGTTGGACATTGGATGGTAATGACTGAAAGGGGAAGGTGAAGACTTTCCTACATCACACTCCCAACCCGGAGAGCATCTACATTAGCTTGAGAGGTAGTCTAAATAAATTATTTTCCATTGTTCAAAATGGGAAGGAAATAAACAAGAGAAAGAGTTCAAAGAGATGGCAAATCTCTTTATCCTTATTCTCATCTTGCCAGTTTGGCATTTTTATGTTCAACCAGTAACAGTTTGGTCTGGTGGTTAAGGCACCAAGTTAGAAAACGGGACACCGTTCTGCCTTAGCTATGAAAGCCAGCTGCGTCACTTTGGGCCAGTCACTCTCTCAGCCCAATTCACCTCACAGAATTGTTGTGGGGAAAATAGGAGGAAGAAGTATTATATGTGTTCGCCATTATTTGTAAAAATAATGGTTAGATATAAATAAATAAGCAAAATAAACAAGACAAACATGAGAGGCATAATGAAGAAAATAATAATAGCAGGCATGATATTCCCCTCTGAAAAAAAAATTGGGGCCGGCCAAAAGAGACCCCCCCACCGCGCGCCAAGAAATCGCTGCCCAGCTCCCTTTTCCTGCCGCTCAGCGGGCTCCGCTTGCACCGCCCGCCCGCCCGCCCGGGCTCCGCTAAGGTATCCGGCTGGGGCTGTCAGGAGTTGCTACCGCTGGCGCGGCTCTGCGCAGCTCCAGTCCCGCGTTGCCTCGGGAAGGGAAAGGCAAAACCAGGAGCCGCTGCTGCCGTTGCAAAGCGCCGCCGCGGCTCTTCCTTTTTGCCTTTCCCTTCCTGAGGCAACACGGGACTGGAGCCACACAGAGCCGCGCCAGTGGTAGCAACTCCTGACTCGGGCCTCCGAGGGGAGGGGAAGGAGGAGAAGAAGGGGGGAAGGGGGAGGCGATTCCCCAAAAAAATCGGAAGAATATCATGTCTGTAATAGAATAAAATGTACAAATCCAATAATATTAGCTTAAATAGCAAAACTCTCTTAGAATAAAGGATGGCCTAAAAGCTAAGCCACAATATACAATTCCCATCACCACCAAGGAATGATAAAGTAAGGCTTTCAACTATTTTCTGAAACTTAAAATAACTTCCCTATAATTTCCTTTCTATCAGTTTGAAACAAGTGTTTCTAGACCTGGGTTTTCCTTCAGATTTCAAGTTAAAAAAATATTATGTAACTGAAGTCATTTTTACTTAAATAATTTTACTTAAATAATTTTTTTTTTAACTTGAAATCAACTTTAAAATGGGATTAGACCATTATGAAGAACATTATATGAAATAAGGAAAACAATAAACCGATGTCCTTGTCTTGCTTATCGGTTTCCCAGACATGCCAGACTGATCAGTATAGGAACAAATAGGTTTTAATTTTATGTATGAAAGCTATTTTTGTCATGTTAATTTAGGGCTACCTTGTGGACAAATTGCACTAAGACCATTGATATTGTACCAGCCCAAGTTCTAAAACAGTTTTAAAAAACAATTCCACTGTAAGGCTCATTATGAGGAGGTTACCAATCATACACAAATTGTGGAAAAGCTTGATACCATCTGGAGGACAGTGTAATTGACAAAGTTGATGATATAAAGCATTCCTGGGAATAGCTGCTAAATCTACAAGAGCAGACAAAATAGCTAAGCAGATGTTCACTTCATAGGTTAGCCCCTTTCTCTAGACAGCAAAAGTAGATTGTCATCATTATACGTGTCATCCTCAATAGCAAAAATAACCTTCTAAAACAATGGAAACCCAAAAGTGCACTGAAATCAATCAAATTTTTATACCTTCAAATGGTTAGTTCATTTCAGGTAGAGCCCATTACTTTTAACTTGATACAGAAGAAATTATCCTCAGTACTGTCCCCTATGGGATTACCGAATAAAATGTTATTTAACCGACTTCATGAATTTTTTACACAAAGTGCACAATAATGGAAAATGAATCATATTTCAGAAAGAACTGAATAGGGAAATAATTATCAGATCAGTGTGACTCTGTCAATAACATCTCAACGGCAGGTTTGAATTTTTCTGTGCATTAGGTGACAGTGATTATTAAATAGAAAATTATTCTGAAAACAGAAGACATTTGTAATGAATAGGCAAAGACTACTGTAGCACCCAACTGCTATTTCATAAAAAAGGCTCACACAATAAACATCAGCAATCAAATAAAGCTAACCTCCACATTCCAGTAAAACTGTACATGGTGCTCACACAACGAGGTAAATCGGGAGGCTGGAGTCCATCCATGCGAACAAGAAGTGCTGGAACACCAAAAAGTACAAGGTACTTCACATAAAAAAATAGGACCTGGGCCAGCGCAAGGCCACCTGTAAGAATGCAAGAGAAAAATGTTCTACTTTAGTATATCATTGTAATATTTACAGTCCTTTTTTTTTCTAAATAAAGTTGTTACTGTGTTTTTACAAGTGCGCTTTATTAAAGCATAAAGTATATCTTTTTTTTCTGCCTGTATCAGATATGCACAAACTGTATCTCAGAGTAGAAGTATCAAGCTCAGAAAGCATCCAGGGTCTCACAGTTCAACTCTAAGCTGCAAATATTCTCTTCTATCAGTACTGTATCTCTTGGACAGATGCAGGATGGATCAACTTAGAAGAGTTTGGCTAATTCTTAGTGAAACTGAAGTGGTTCATAGATAGGATTTCCACAAAACGGAGATAAATGTAGGTCATTTTACCATGCATCTTGGAAAATTGCAGCCCATTTCACAATACATTTGGCTTTTAAAATAAGGGAGGCAACCCACAGCAAACCACTAGCTTTTAGGGGGAAAGGTGAAGGAATGTGCATCACATTTCACAAGTCTGTCTTGATAGACCCAGACTACTCTGTCTACTTTGCTGTACTTTCCAACTGAAAACATTTTTTTTTTCATTTTAATAGAATGGTTGCTATGGCCCTCATTTGCCCAATTGCTGATTCTTTTCAAAACTCTTTTTCTAGAAAAAGGGTGAAATTTTATTTAAAGAACAATGATCCTAAAATCACCAATGCAAAAGATGCGTAAACCAGATCTTTCCAAAGATAATTCTACACGCTGTTTGAAATGAATGAGAATTGCTTACATATATTAAATGTGATAATTATGACAACATGCCCAAACTCCCTTATTTTGTTTACAGACTTGTTATGTATACTCAGAAAAGCCTCAGAAATCAGATAGACAGACAGACAGATTCCCCCTCCTGAAAGAAACACACACTGTTGGAAGTTGCTGCCCAAAATTGCTCAGAAAGCCTTGGGACCATGGTACTAACTCAAATATCTTTTCAATTCTAGAGTAGAAAATATCTATCACAGATGCTAGGGCTAGGCAGGTATTATTGCTTTGACTTTTGGTGAAGAACAAAACATTCTTTGCTACTTTAGTGGGTTGCATGGATCATTATCCAAGCCATCTCTGAAGTTTCAAAGTTAGAATAGAATATCTTTTATTGTCATTGCATTCCAAGAATACAATGAAATTTGAAAGCTACTCTAGCACAGTGCCCCAAACACATCACAATCATACTACAGAGTATTTAAAAATTAAAATAATAATAATAATAGGACTAAATCACAAATGCATTGTTTGATTCAAGACAATTACTGCCTTGGAAAAGAAATTGTTTCTCAATCTATTAGTCCTCATTTTAAGACACCTATAACACCTCCCTGATGGTAACAGTTCGAAATATGAATGTCCAGGATGAGAATGGTCTGTGGAGATTTTTAGTGTTCTAGAGAGGAGTCTGGTCTTCGCAATCTCTTCCAAAGAAGAAAGAGAGCAAGCGATGATTTTTTTGTACTGTGTTTATAACTCTCTGGAGCATCTTCTTATCCACTACAGAGCATCCAGCATACCACACCGTTACACAGTATGCCAAAATGCTCTCGATGATAGAACAGTAAAAATAACCAGCAACTTCTCACCCAGACCACTCTTTTTCAGCAACCTCAGAAAGTGCAGGCGCTGTTGGGCCTTCTTTGCAGTGGCCATAGTGTGGACCGACCAAGTAAGGTTGTCAGAAATATGAGTTCCTAGAAATTTGAAACTATGAACTCTTTCCACATAGTCTCCATTGATATATAGTGGGAGAGGTCCTGCTTTACATCTTCCAAAGTCTATAATAAATTCTTTGGTCTTGGACTTCCGGTTTGTCGGCTTCGCGAGCGGCAGGGATTTGCGAAGCTGCGCGATCCCTGCCGCGCTAGCCGTTTTTGGGGCTCTGACCCAGCCGGGTACGGAGCTAGGCTGCCCTGCAGGGGCAGCTGAAGGTAGGGGGGATCCGGAGAAGGGTTTGGGGGTGCTGCAGACCCCCTCCCTGGCCGGCAGAACCCCCTTTTCCCAGGACGGTGCAGCGGCGGTCCGTAATGGCCGCCACAAAGAAGCTGGCAGCCGGGTAAGAATGCGCAGGAGGAAGTGGAGAAAGTGATTGAGAGGAGAAAGTTTTTCTTGGCTCCTAGGACTCTAAGACATATTTAATAAAATTCCTGAAAAGTATGACTTTCTGAATAATACCTGCCAGAAGAGGGAAAAAGCGGCTGCTTGAAGGTGCTGAAAGGATAGCTTTCCCTCTTTTCCCACGGAATAAATAACTGGATATTAAGAAACCTATTTTTTTAGGTGGAAATTGGTTTTAAGCGATGAGTGGGAAGAGAGAGGATTAAAAAGAAAATATTTGTATGCTAAGATTTGTTGGAGCAGATGCCTTAAGGATTTGAAGACTAGAATATATTGTAACAAGACTTTAAACAGATTTGGACTTTCTTTCTCTTTGATTGATATCACCCCAGAAGGAGAAAGTGAGAACTCTGCCTTGGTTTGGACTGATTGATAACTTTGGGACTGTTTTATCTTTTTTATTTTTTTTTTGAATATTCTGGTTGTTGTAAGAAGAAAGAAGGAGAAAAGAAAAGAAAAGATTTATAATGGCTCTTTCTGTTGAGGAACTAAGAAATGGTGTGGAAGAAGCTTTCCTTTTCTTAGAAATGGCGCTTACTAATTATCAACAAAAATTACAACAGATGAAGACAGCAGAGGAACAAGAAAGAAAGGAAGGAGCCATCTTTAATGAATCTCAGAATTTGATCCAGAAAAAAAGAAGAGAGAAAGAAAAGAAAAGAAGAGAAAAGAAGAAAACTAAAGGATTTAAGGACTTAAGATCTAAAAAAACATTTAAGAAAGGGAAAAATAAAGTGCAAAACCAATATGATGATTGTAAACAAAGGGGAAAAGAAATACGACAGAGAAGGGAAGCCGGTAAGGCAGAGGCTAGAAGAAGGGGGGGTAGAAAGTTTTGTTGGGAAAAGAAAGAAAGGGAAAAGGTGGAGAAAAGCTACAACGTTTTGAAATTAAATGGAAAAAAGGAATTTTTTATGGATAATGGATAAAGTAAAAAGATTTTGCAAGGTACATAAGATGAGATGGTAGTATTGCAATGGTTTAAGAGTTGATAAGAGATTAAAATGTTAAAATGTTCAAAAATGATTGGTTTTAAAACTTAATAATAGGAGGGGTTTAGAATATTGTTTTAATTAAAGAGTTTAATAAAATTATGGTATTGATGTTATTATGAAATTTTTATTATAGTATTTCTTTTTAATATTTGGATTTATTCTCTAATTATGCACTTAATTGTGTTGGATGTATTAGTTAGATAGAATGTACCAAGCAAAATCTGATTGGGTATTAGATATTATTTTAAAGATTAATTTGATTAACTTAGGGGGGAGATAGAAAGGCATCATACTCTGATTAATGATTTCAGGAGAAACTGATTTTCTTTTTTTTCATAAGGGATGAGACAAAGGGATGATAAAAAATGGACAAAAGATACAAATATAATGATTTAAACTAAGATGATTAATTAAGGTAGAATTAAGAAGTGTGAAATATGTGGAGAAGTTAATATAGAAGGCTTAGAACGGTAAATAAAATAAGTAATGATATGTAAGATGAGCATGAATATAATTGAAGTCCATGAAGAGAGAGACACCTGGGTCCAAGTTACTTTCCAAAAAGATATTTTTTTTATGTTTTGTGTGTTGTGTGTATATGTCTTTTTTGGGGGGAGAATTGGTAAAAACTTGTAGAAATATAGAATGAGAATAATGGTAACTAAGTCAGAAAGAAACAGATGAAATAATAATAATGATATTGAATAAGAGTAAAGAGAAGTAAAGAGAAATTGAATAAGAGGTTTTGGTATATTATATGGAAATGGTTTAAAACAGAATTATAATTTATCTGACTTGTTAAATTTACAAGGGAAAAAGGTTTAAACATGTAATGAATAATGATAATTTGTGTGTTTTAAAAATTAATAAAACTTGTTTTAAAAAAAATAAATAAATAAATTCTTTGGTCTTTTTGATGTTCAAGGTGAGGTTATGACTCTTGCACCACAAGACCAGTCTGAGAACCTCTGACCTATGGACCGTCTCGTCTCCTCCTGATATGAGTCCCACCAACGTGGTGTCATCTAAAATTTTATTATAGAGTTAGTGGGACAAGAGGGAGTGCAGTCCTAGGTGTAGAGTGAATACAAAAGGGGGCTCAGCACACAGCCCTGTGGAGAGCCAGTGCTGAGAGCAAGAGTGGAGGAAAAATAGCTGCCAATCCTAACAGTTTGGGGTCTGTTAGTAAGAAAGTCCTTTATCCAACAGCAGATGTGAGAGGAGAGGCCCATTTCCAGCAACTTCTTAATCAGTATATCCGGAATGATGGTATTAAAAGCCGAGCTGTAATCAATGAAAAGCATCTTTACATAGCTCCCACTATGCTCCAGATGGACCAGTGCAACGTGGAGAGCCATGGCAATAGCTGTGGATCTGTTATTCTGATAAGCAAAGTTCAGAGGAAGCCTAATTGTTCACCTCCATGACAAGATAACTCAACCTTTAGAGAACTTCTCTTATAGAAAACCTTAACCTCTTAGTTATATGCCACAAAAGAGAGGAAAAAAACAATTGTAAGATAGCATATTTTCAAGTACTATTCACTGATTCAGTAATCTTTAAAAAAATTGAAATACTTTTACTTCATGTTAACATTTCTTAGCAGTAACAAATCACTAATTTAAATCAATTCATTTTCAACATTTTACAAAAATCAAAGCTCTATTTCCATAGATTCTATTTCACAAACATTGTATCATTCACAGCTGTTGCATTTTCATAATGTCATACAGATAGTTGATTTCTTTTTTAAAATTTAGAGTTAGAGTTATTACCAGCCACTACTACTAAAAGCATTAACAATGTCTTATTTTTCAGAATTATATTCTTACCAGAAAATATTGTTTTGTTATATATGACACATTCA